TATCGTAGGGTCGTTACATAGAGTCTGGTAACTGACGTAGGAAACGGCCCGCGGCAGATTTGATTGGACAGGCTATGTGAATCTGGGCTACTCTCAACTTCTTCGCCTGTGCCGACTCACCCGCATACTCCTCTCCTTGGGTCGCGAACCACGAGTTCATCCAACTGATGAAAGCCCTAACTCCAACCGTACTATCTCCGGAAAAGGTAATTGCCGGGGGTGCCATAACCTTCGAGTTTGATACTCCAAGAGGATCTTCTGCCTAGCTACTCGACCTACTTGGTAATAGTCCCCGTAAATTATCGAAGAATGTCGGTGGTACGAAATCCCGTTGAACCGGTAACTGGAACCTCTGGGTGTCTTCCTCGGTAGGGCTCGAAAAGACTTGACGCGGTATTGAGTACCAGTAGCCTTTCCTCTGGAAGTAGACGGTATCAATTGCTTGATTCGTTTCCGGAAGCCCACCAGATCTCGGTGCTCCCACTCTTTCTTGTTTGAAGACTCTTCCTAGACACTTGGGCTTAGGCTCACCCAATTGGGAGCAGAGGCCACTAGGCGGCGATTTAGAGTCCAGGGTGCAAAACAACTGACTCAGACGCTTAGGAGAAGCTACGAGGATCTGTCTTGACAAGTAAAAGGAGTTACACGAGACGGCAAGTTGTCAAACTGAACACCAATCCGTTTCAGAGCACCACTGTGGGGATGTCCCGTTGCTTTCCCCTTAGATGGATGGTGTGTTGACCATGCACGCCCGTGAAGAGAAAGACGACCGGAACTCTACTTGCTATCACCGGAGATTGAGCAGGTAAACTTGGCTCTGGGTAGATAAAAGATAATAGGGCAGATAAGCAGAAAGAGAACCAAGGAAAAGGACCAACCTCCTAGGTAAGGACTGGTGATTGAATTGAGAGCCGTGAGGAAGGTTGTTTTCTCTATCTCCTGCGCAAACATGAAAGTCCTCCCCCCAATACCGAAAGTTGTGTGTGCCAAGCTATCTACTACTGTGCAACCATTGTGCGTGCATATCTCCCCCTGTGACTGCCAAACTATCCTATACTACCACCGCCCCCTACACCGGTATTGTCCCATACCCTGCTTTCCCGCAAAAGTCTGTATATTCATTGCTGGTAGCTGAAAGAATAATAAAAGAAAATTATCTAAAATCATTCGAAATTGTTAAAAGTAGGTACTTAAAAGGAAAATCATAAAATGATTTTTATCTATTTGTTTCACAAAGCTGGTATTTATTTTTAACTGATCATTAATACAGAATGCCAAGCCCCCATATAAATTTGGCTAACTCTGGTGGAGATTTGCTCTTTCATCATACCATGCCTAGATAAATCCAGGTGCAGATCATGCAAATATCAAATGTTTACTATTTTAATCAGATTATGAAATAAACCTTATAAAAAGTAACTTATATAAATTTTCTGTATTTTTTACAATATTTTATTATATAGAAATGGGCTAGTTAATTACCCATGTTTATGCGCTTTTTGGTGGGGTTTTAGAAAGTGGGACAATACCTTTGAGAGGTGATTGTAGGAGAGGCAGCTTCAACGACCTACGGTAGCGAGATTCTTTACCAACCCAGTCTTTGCGGGACGGTAGGATTACTCAAAGATCCGGAGACTCTACTTGTATTCCGGGATAATACCGGTATCGCTTTGGCGGGTACGGCGGTTTGTGGGGCAGGTTATGGCGGAACGTTGGATACGCCAGGGGACCAGGAGATGGGCAGCACTGTAGAAACCGCCGTGTACTATACCGTATTTCTTTGGAGGGATGCATGGAATATGCTATGCAAAGGCCAAACCACGGGACCATCCCCCCAGACGACGCTTCGTACGAGTACCCCCGGGCTTGGTGGGGCTTAGCAACCCATTCCTGTTTTCGGTTTCGGCTACCGGTGTCATAGTCCACGGGTCGCCGACGACAACCCCTCAGGGGGTCATTGGAGCGTTGAAATCCACCATTCACGCTAGCCCTGTACAAGTACGAGTAATCATGTGGATTTGGAGACAAGAGTTCCTGAGAAGGATCAGCTCTTTCCCTGACATGGCATTGCACCGGTATTATCCCACCGGATGTGTTGGATCCCATTAGCCGGTATTCGCGATTCTCCTAACCCGTCAGACTACTGGTAAACCTGTGGTGGACTGACGGCCTGAATTCCTCCGACCATCCGACAGCAGTGCAAGTACCGTACCGGCATTGGTATTGGATTCAAAGAGGTACCAGTGTTCTGCACGCTGTGGGCTTCTGAGAACATGCGACGAAGCCACAACCGAGGCGTTGATCCTTCTCCTTTGGCCCCACCAACTAACGATAACGTGGGCTGGCTGGCTCCGGGGTTTGGCGGCCTGTTTGACCTGCGACTTCCGCTCTCAGGGAGATCAATGGAAGCACAACCCCCCTGGTTTGTATGCCGGTATCCGACTGTATCTGTACCGGTACTCGTACTCGAGTGCAGCACGGTGCGTACCACGATCGAAGGAGGGTTATTTCCATTTTCGTCCAAATCACAAAGTCCCCCACTATGGTCTTGTCACCCGTGAGTTTATCGGCGGTGCCGTACCGTGCTCGAGTACCAGTACTGTGCAGTGAAAGGGAAGGCCGTCACCGTTGTGCGGCTGCTTATCGCACTCATGTGCGGACCCGAGTTTTCCCCCGGGATCTCGGAGGTGCCGGCAGCGCAGTGCCGGTGGCATTCCAGGATTCCAACAATCCGCACGGGAAAAGGACCTGAGACGGAGGAAACTGTAGGCTGTCTTGGCGTGGGCGGAGGCGGTTCCGTAATTACGTTTTGATCGAGCGGAGCATCTCTGTTTTCTTGGATGTGAGAATGGTGATCCTTTCGGGTCAAGCGCGACACCACCGCGCCATGGGTAGGCGCTCACACTTTCAGTTTCTATGAATAACCTCTGGTGTTGAGAGTCGAAATCACGATTAGGATAATATTGCTGATTGTGGACCTCGTGTGTGGCGAATTGCTGCTGGCGGTACTCGAGCACAGCGAGCCCTGGAGGAATTTTTTTCACCCCTCCGTTTCTCTTCGAGAGGTCTGCTTGCATCCGAACGCGGACCAGTGGCAGTGAAGGCACTTGTTCTGGCGGTACAGTACGAGTATTCTGCTCGAGCGAGCTGGCGACACAAGGGCCAATACGGGTAATCTGAGACGTGATTGTCGGTTCACCTCCTTGCCCAGAATCTTGGCTCTCCCCGCCCGCTCCAATGAATTCCCTCTCGCCAAGATGCAGAGCTTACCGCCCGCCCCAGCGGTCATGGCCCCGAAAGCGAGATTCGGGCATCATCGCTCCTCTCCCACCTCCCACCACCAACGGGATGGAGCAAAACAAAGCAAAAGGGAAATAAAGGCTCAAATGAGAGGTGGAAGCACAGATGACCCTTCGCTTGCTCGTGCTCCGAACGGTTGAGGTCACCCAGTCCAAGCCATCCATCCCACACACCGTTTCAACAATCACCAGTCCGGGTCTTGGAATATTCCAAGTTCCAGTCTTCTTCTGCCCTGCCCTTCCTTTTTCCCCCTCTGCCTTTTTTTTTCTTCCCTTTGTTCTTTCTTTCTACCTTTCCCTTCCCAGACCGCTTCGTATCCGCTTCAGATCCCTTTCCCTCTCCTTCTCCAATCGACCCAACCAACACCCACAGCATATTTCACCCCGGGTTAGCTTTCCGGAGCTGCTTCGTTTAATATAGACCTATTTCATCCATCCCTCAACCCTCGCTTCAGGTACAGTGCTCGTTTTGCTCTCTCTGTCCCTCTCTTTTTTTTTTCTTTCTTCTATTCCGGGGTCAACCCCCATCGCTCAAAGCTAGCGCTGCGGGCGGCTCTGTGAAACGCTGCACCCTAACGGGACGCTTTGCGGTAACGAGGCACACGATACGATTTGTTTCTCCGACCACCGCACTGTACCATACATCCACCGTTACCGATACTCAATAGCATCCCTTACCGGTGCATTCCCGTTGCCATCGTCCTTTTCTATTGCATTAATACCGCTACCCTCAACCATCTCCCTCCACCCGGTTAACAAACACGCCCCGCCGGGACCGTTTCTTTTCAATACAGCGTCCTCACACCCCTTGCCCCGCAAACATCTCACTCAGAATCGTAGACTCAGATCTGGGTGGATTGCACCGACTGTCCACCACCACCTTTCGATATGCCGATCTTAGATGTCTTCACCAAGCGAAAGCTTCCGAGTAGAGTGGTCCTGTCGTAAGTCCTCTCGGCCTGTGCTTCCCCTCATCCCCACCCATCCCGTCACTTACACGAGGGTTACGAGACTTTAGCTATATTTTCGACTACGTTGTCATAATGTGAGTGGATCTTACTTGCCTTGCACCTCTCCGGAGCTTGGGATAGCGTTCTCCGGGAGTGGGAGATAAGTACACGGACACAACCTGACGATATGCAGAGTTTTCACATTAATCTTTTCGGCCCTTGATCTCGCCGAACCCTACCATCAGCACTTTTCGCTCAATAATGAATCCATACAATATCCATTTGCCGAGAAGGAGAGGATACCCGCTGTTTGGGCCGGCGTTTTATCGTGCTTGTTCCCGTTGGTCTTTATCATCTTCTGGACCATGTTGATCGACGGCCTTTATTCCCACCACAGGCCCCCGAACAGCCGGAGACGTATGCTTGGTAGCAACGGAGTATGGACTATGGCGGACAGACTGTGGGAGATGAACTGTGGAATACTGGGGTTGGGATTGAGTGTCGCAGCGGCCATCGTTATCACCGGCGCATTGAAAAACACTACTGGCAAACCAAGGCCAGATCTGATTGCCCGGTGCAGACCCAAGGAGGGCGCTACAAATGCTCCGGGGTTCGGTCTTGCCTCATACGATATCTGCACCGGCGACAAACATATCTTGAAGGATGGTTTTAAGAGCTGGCCTTCTGGCCATAGCAGTAGTAAGCTTCTTTATATATATATATATATATCACCTGTGGTACTTTCCTAACAAGCAATAGCTGCGTTCGCTGGCCTCGGATATCTTTCCCTTTTCCTTGCCGGAAAGCTTCATGTCTTTGATACCCGTGGCGAAGTATGGAAAACCATGCTCGTACTGATTCCACTTCTTGCCGCAAGTCTAGTGGCTGTAAGCCGTATCATGGATGCCCGCCACCACCCTTTCGACGTCATCACTGGCGGTATCATGGGGTTCTTCGTAGCCTATGTCTCCTACCGCCAATATTTCCCTCCTCTCTCTGAAACCTGGAAGAAGGGTCGTGCCTATCCTATGCGATCCTGGGGAACCGACTCTGCTGAGCGGAAGCAGATGCAACTCGGAGTGTACGAAGATAACTCACTCAGCGGCGGCCTAGTAGCCGACGAAGAGGAGGGTGGAAAGATAGGCGTTTATAATCCGGGCATAGCACCTAGGGCGGGAGGACCAAGTGTAAGCGCTCCCGGCATAATTGGTGGTGGAAATGGATCCGGGAGTCGATTTTCCGATGAGTCGGCAGCAATCCAAGCACGGAAACGGGAAGCGCAAGGGATCGGGGCAGGAAGACAGCGAAGCGACCTGGATGATTACGGTGGATACTCTCCCCAAGGAGAGAGTTCTAGTGGAGAGGAACCCGAGACGTACGAACTCAGGCCAGCGCCATTAAAACCATTCAAGGCTCCGGGGATCGCTAGGACGGATAGTCAAGAGAGTGAGGATACAAGATGGGGCGTTGACAGGGCTACAACAGCGATTACAGGTGGTGGTGCAGGATCCCCACCCGTTCCAGGGGGCTTTGAACCCGTCGGACGAACCAATACCGGATTTGATAGCACAGACGAAGAAAAAGGCCCGCTTAAAACCAAAGATGCAGTCCGAAGGGTACAATTGACCGATAGCTAAGCTCAGTTAAGTCGCATTTTATTACATTTTCTTTCTTTGAACGACTCAAGGTTGTGGGCGGGGTGTAAAGGTGTTCATGACATGTTTTTCATTCTCAGTTACTCTTTCGGTTGGTTTGGGCATATATCTTTTTCTTTTCTTTTATTTCATTTATTCTCGTACCTTCTTTACTTTATTACATCATTTATACTTGCATTTCACCCTCATTTTTTCCCTTTATTTCACGGGAAAATTCAATTTCTCATCCTTGCTTGTTTGCTGCTCGTACTTTTGGCGGGGGACTTTGTACTTAGCTCACGTTATACATTTTCTTTTCCTCTCCTTTAAATGGGACTCGTAGGGTGGTGAGGCTCAACAGGAGTTATGGGGTATGTGTGTGTGGGGGGGTTAACGTGTATACCTTTTATCTATCCTCCTTTGCAGTGCGGGTAGAAATCGGGATAATTGTGATGCGTTCATTCATTAATTGCTCACTCTGCGCCGTAGTTGGCATGGCATGTGTAGGCTGCGCCGTTCGATGCCGTAGGAGCATCGCGAGAAACCGCCGCCGTACGCTGGTCGATCGGGTCGGCTCAGATACGGTAGCCAACGCGCCCGAGTATAATGTCGTGTACAGTACGGTAATATCATACCGAGCAGCACAGCTCGGCAAAGCGGGGCATACCGGCACGATCTGATCGACAGCATCGGGTATCACTCGTTTGCCAGCTCGTCATACCTCGCACAGGGATGGAATGTCCTCGCTGCGCACACAGACCGACCACTGGTGGCTTATCGCTGGTAGATGAGTACCGTATGATATCACAGGAACGATGGATAGGCTACTGAATGGTATGACGCTTTATTATAGTTTTTTTTTGTTTCTTTTTTTCTTTTTTTCCCCCTTCAGCAGCAGCACGGAAGGCTCAGGTGAGGGAGGAAGGGAAGGAAGGGAGGGAGGGAAGGGAGTACAGTACTAGTGCAGCAAGTTGTATCACATCACATCATAACGGGTGGAATGCCTCGTGGTGCAATTTTCACTTTTAAGCGTGGGGTTGGAGTTGTGATGTCGTCGCGCTGTAGCTTGAAGGAAAAAGCTTGCGATGGGATGTGATTGTACTTGTACGGTACTGTACGGTACGGTAGAGTTTTGTTTGACTGATTTGTGTTATGCTATAGCTTGATGGGAACTACTACTATTACTGTGCCGGTATTGTGTGCTGTTTGGCCTACCGTGTTGTACTCTGGTATATAGTGTGAGATCTGTAACTTATCCGCTGTATGTTCGGTCGGTTTGTAGTGGCGGTTCAGTTTCCCGTCGGTATTGTATCATACTTGCGAATTAGTGTGATACTAGACACCAATCGTATTCACCGTAAATCACTCGGGCTAAATCTTGGTAGATTCCGGCAGATCAATGTTTTATATCGTAAAGGGATAATAAAAACCCAAAACAGGGGAAGGATAATTAAAAAAAAAAGAAAAAAAGAAGCCTTTACAAATAAATAGCCTGCAAAAAATCTAGATATTGTCTTCACTCTCCCCGATCGGATTCCCGCCAATCCATCCCTCAAACAACTCCCCGGGCAAAGTCGCAGCGCTCACCATGGCAATCTCCCTCCTACCCAGCCCCTTGAATACCCATCGTCCGCTGGCGTGCCTCCCGCCCAGGGCATACCTGATCCCCAAGTACCCAACCAGAATCCCGACGGTGGGTGAGTACTTGAGCCAATTGGGAACTAGGGCATTCCAGAACACATCGTCGATCCAGGAGCCTGCCTCGAGATATATTAGCAGCATAGTGACGTCGACGAGCACCTGTCGTACAAGGTAGGAGAGGTAAGGACCCAACATGTGTGAGGCGCGAACGTAGGCGTGGCGATAGTATCGCACTCTTGCCAGAACCTGTCGGAAGAGGTAAAAGTGCTTGACGATCGCTGCGACGGCCGAGAATAGCGAGCCGTAGGTGGGCGTCGAGATGTGCCAGGTGGCCAGGAACACGAGCCAGAAGAGGGCGCCGAAGAGGAGTACTGGGGAAGGGGAGGAATACCGGTTGTAATGGCGGTGTCCGGACCAGGAGGGGGGTATATCTGATAGCACCCGTGGGATTCCGAGTAGCATAGTGAAGAGGGAGTCCGCTGAGAGAAGGACGTAGGTGGCGCTGAAAAGGACGTAGATGGCGCTGAAAAGGACGAATTCGCAGCTTGTGAACAGGACTGCCCAGAGTCGGGGTATGAGGGGTCGGAATGGGATCCGGTGCGCTACCCTTGCAAGGGCTGGCGAGAACGTGCTGTATGGGGACTGGTAGCGTCTGTAGACAAGGACCAATAGCGATACTAGCCCCAGCGCAGCGATGTATCCGGAGCTCACTAGGAAAGCAATCAAGTCCCGAAGGACTATTCCTGTGAAGGCGTAATCCAGGTAGGGACAGGGGATGCGGTACAATCCATCGTTTAGCAGTCCGGACAGCCAATGTATCCAGGGGCCGTTCTGGGAGATGGAATGTTTAGCACGGTAGGTCCAATATGCCTCTCGGGCCAATTCGCAGGTTGATGACAGGTTTCTCACCCTAGCGGAGGAGTCAAGAAACCATAGTTCATCGGGGTAGAGTGACGAATCCCTATGACCGGAGAATACGCTCATCAGTGCGCTCTCCCTGTACCATTCTCCTACACCCCAGCCCAATCCTGCTGTCACCGCCCTCCCCCATCGCCAGAGTTCCTGGCGACTCTGCTCCTTGAGGTTTCGGTCTGATGCTGGCTCGAACCGGCATTTCTGATTATTGCATGTGGCTGTAGGAAATCCCGGCAGGGGGAGCTTGGGGAAGAGGATTGATGCACCGATGGTACCAAACGGGATGGGGCTTAAGTCGAGGGTTCGGTTCGAGGTGTATATGTCGACCAGTTTATTCGGGTAGTGGGTAAAGTCATAGTTTGGGTTTATGATTTTTGTAACGAGGCAGAGAAAGAATATGAGGTTTTTGAGAGATCGGTAGGGAGTGAAGTGCGGGAAGTATGTTACGGTTCGGTGGCTGGTGGGATTGATTGCCGCGCTTGGTGGTGACATTTCTTTTGGAGGCTTCCGGCCTTATATGGGGAAAGAAAGAAAACGAGTCTCCGTTTTCTCTTTCTCTTTCTCCCTTATTTGCTTCCCCGGGATATTTCCTTTGTAATGGCTGAGGTTCTATCGTCCTAGTGTTGATGGAAGCAATCATAGTGAAAGCGGTGGTTCTTGTTGGGCCACCGATATATATGGCATTGTTCCTTATGGAACCTTGAAAGTATAAAGCACCCGAGAGTGCGGATAGTTACAAGATATTGTGTCTCAAGAGGAGCGGTGGCTTCCCTCTTCCGTCAGTCTATCTTTGGAGAAACACTACCGTCAGCCTCAAGTGCCGTTTGCGGTAAGTTTTTTCATAACGGGTGAGAAACGGTGATCCGAGTATAATAACAAAATAGTAATGAGAAAGCTTATCTTTGTTCGGTGATCGGGTCTAACTGTGGGAGCCTCTGGAATATGTCTCCCCATTGTTACAAGTAATTTCTGCGGCTTGGACAGCATCTTTTTCCCCTTCTCACCCTTTCCCCTGGTTCCCTTGAAGTCGCTTCTTCTCGCTCTCAGGAGTGTTGACGTTTTGATTAAATGCTTTGCATTCCTCTTCTATCTCTTCGAGGTTTCCTCCTTAGGTTAATGCATCCCCCCTCGCTACCCTAGATGGCATCATGCTGTTGCTACCATCACCCGGGGCGTCCAAAGAGTCATCTTCAGCGAGGTGTCGTGTAGAGTTTTATTTCTTGAGAGTTGTTTAAAGATAGCGTTTTACCCACAGCTTATCAATCCACCCTGCGCTTTTATGGTGTTGGAACCACTTGAATCAGAAGAACAACTCGATCGCTGGCCCGAATAGTCTGTAATACAAGTTCCAGTTCCCAGTCAAGCTCCCCTATGTCCTGGTGGACGACTACTGGAACAGGGGCTCCTTTCCTGCGGTGCTCCTGAGAGGGCCAAGAACCGTTCTCTGTCCACGCTATCATACCCATTCACTGCATCAGTCTGCGGATGGCTGCTGTCCGTAGTGATGGGGAAACGGGGCGTAAGTATTGGGCCTTAATTGCCCTACCCCTTTCACCAATATATCCCTAATTCTCTGCCCAAGGCTGGTCCACCCACAGTTAGCACGGCTCGGTCTCGCTGAGACCTCTCAAACTCCTACTATTGTGTTCCCTTTCATTCCTGACTCGGGGATTTCGGAGAAAACCCGCCCCGCAAGTGCGCGTAGGCTATTGGTCTGGATGTGGCTGAATGCCTCGATTACTTGGTGTTGTAGAGTAGGGGGGCATCAGCGGCGTTTCTGGTGGTTGTCTGACAGAACCGGTGGGGATGTGGTGTAATAATATAAATCCAATGTTAGGGTCGAGGCTCACTCCGCTGTCATTTGCACCGCCGCAGACAACCACCCAGTAGAACCGGTCGCCATTCGAACCCAAGTTCCCGAGTGACCTCCCTGAGCCCGGAGCACGAACAACCCCCGAGACTCACGGAAACACAAACACGAGCAAATAGGTTCTGTTCCGCCGCGCGCATCGTATTGCTAGGGGCTTTAAAGGTAGTTGTAGAGAAATTTTTATCGAGCGAACTAGAAGCTTAGTTAACTTCGTGCAGAGATGATGTAGGTTACCGGTGGCAGTGTAGAAAGGTATCATAAACAGCTGAGTAATTCTCAAGCCTTCCTCTCTCGGGCTAACAGTTTGATTTCTGTCGTCCCAATTCCTTGCATGGGTTTGGGTTACTTAATTATAGCCCTTGCTCTTACCCCTCGCGGTTTTCTAACTATGATATGTAAAATCCCTTAGCATAACCTGAGAGCATAATGGGCAAGTGTTTCTCTTGGCATGCGCGATGGAATTGAATCTCGCTAATCCCCAATCTACTCTTTCCTGCTCCACCTCCGCAGGGCACTCGCTTATATATGAGCAACTCGAGATTATTTCACACTTTAATCCCAGTACTTTGAAACCCCTTGTGGTTGGCGAAATGTGCGCTATCAGACTGAGTACCGTACCGCATACCGCCGGCATGTAGCTCGAACCAGTTTCAGGTAGAGATTCTAGTTCTCTTATCGGCAGGCTGGTCTAGGATTATCCACATACCGTACTAGGTGTAGCACAGAACTCTAGTACTTATAGAGCAGCCTTCCCTGCTTCTATTGACCCATATCCCTGTGATAAAAACTCGGTCGAATGAGCGAGAGGGCGGAGATTTCGGTAGAAAAACAGATACCCGGTAGAGTAGAGGTAGAGGTACGGTACGAGTACACTACTGTACCGGTATCTACAATTCCGTCACCTGCGACAGCACTGAAATATCAAAACCACAGGGATGGCCATCTCAAGCCCCGAAATCCCGAGACATACTGTATACACAGGATAGAACTCTCTCTATGGAACGCAGCTCCTATAGAAGAAACTGTGGCCTAGGCCACTAAATCCAGCCTTAATGTCCTTCATCAATCCGAGCTGGGGGGAACCAATTTCGGAATTTCCCAACAACTCCTATAAGTGTACTCTATCGTCCAAGCTTTGGTCGACGGGAATTACGGATGCCGGAGCTATAAAGAGAGTCCCCCCCTCGCCTCCTAATTCCTCTGCATTGTATTGCGCACCTTTAGCCGAATCTCAAAGTGCAGGGGTAAAAAAGAGAAACTTCAATAATGTTGTTCAAGAAAGAAATCCTCTCACTCCTTGCCTGCACAGCGGGAGCATTGGGAGCTCATATTCGCAATCGGGATGCAACTTCTGTATTCTTGCTGGCCGGTGATTCAACGACGGCGAAGCAAACAGATGGTGGTGGTGGTAAGTTTCTCCCTCTCCCCGTACTGCTTTGTTAATATCCAAGTAGGTTGATCTTAATTGATTGGTGTGGATAGGCTGGGGAGAAGGCTTCAAAAACTTCACCATCAGTTCACCCTCATTCGCGGTGAACTACGGGCACAACGGAGCAACGACGTCGTCATTCATTTCTGGCGGTGACTGGGAGACGGTATTGTCAGAAGCTTCGCGGCATTCTTCTTCTAAGACTGTTTACGTTACCATTCAAGTAACTCCCCTCCAGTAGGAGTGAGTCGGAAGACATAAAAGAAACTGACAGCACCAGTTCGGCCACAACGACCAAAAACTCTCGAACTTTGTCGAGACCTACAAATCCAACCTCCGCCGCATGATATCCGATGTTAAAGCCAATGACGCCATTCCCGTATGTGCCCCTTCCCCACCTCTACCCCCACTGCAGCTGTCTGACTCCACCAGATAATTGTGACCTCCATCTCCCGCCGCAAGTACAGATCTAACGGGACCATCAACGACAATCTGGAAACCTGGGCCGGGTACGCCATCTCGGTCGCAAATGAGGGCGAAACAATGTACATCGACCTGTGGAAGAACTCCGTCAAGTACCTGGAGAAGATCGGGGAAACCGCGGCGCGCAAACTCGACCTGAAGAGTGGCGATGCCACGCACTTGAACGGCAATGGTAGTATCGTGTTTGGCAGGATGGTCATGGACTTGCTGTGCGAGAAGAGCGCCGCCATTAGGGCCGTGGCGAAGCAAGATGAGAAGTTGAGTGGGAATATTGAAGCGGGCACGCCCAGTTTTTAAGTTAATTGGGAGGAAAAGGGTAGACCTGAATACATAATTAATATCTGCTATTTGCGTCTCGAAAGCTGTACTGCACTGTACGCGCGTTCTGGTCGTACTCCATCCCGTGGCCCCCTGGCCGCCCGGCAGCAGTGCCAGAAGCGGTGGGGGTGGGGGTTACACACTTCCTCTCTCTCCAGCGCTCCCCGCGCTATGTAATACTTGGTATCGTGACAGGAAAGCCCAGAGTTTCCGACAGCCCAGTAACATGCCGCTATACTTTTCAACCGTGAAATAAATCCTCAGGTTGCTAGCCCTGGGTATACCCCCCGGGACACAGTGTGTACCATCACGCCCCGTGCTGGTTGTTTGTTGCACTTCCCTAGCGGATGACTTCCGCTGTGTCTGCCTTTCCAAATTTCCAAATTTCAATTACCTAGATAACGAACTAGACACGATATTTTCTTTTCCCCGTATAAACCCGACCGGTATTCCTTTAGCATAGCGGAGCAATATATCGCAGTAACTACGAAGGTACAGCGCCTAAGTTTTGAATATTTTGCTAGCAGGGGGTATCCTACTAGCAGGGGTCAGGGTACTGAATAGGGAAAGGTTGCATAGGACTGCTCAACATGATGGGATTTTTAGCAGGCCAAGTCTTTAGACCCTTCCATGGATTTCTACACATGTACATGTTCATATATCTCCCATTCTGCTTGCTTTGGCTTCCATTGTAACGTGTTCGCACCGGGGTGCTAATCACGCTTCCGGGTACAATAGGAGTAGCGCACAAGTTGATCTACAACTGGTAGGCGTACTGCGCTAAGGGAGGCTCCGAGAGGAAGATATAAAGAATAGGGACTTGAAGAGGTAATCGTTCAACCAAGTATATTAGAAATACTCTGTCCGTCGAAGTCTGCTGTTCCTCTAAGGAACTCAGCGGTCTTTAAATACAAGCTACGTCCATGTCCTGC